TAAATAGTAATGGTTAATGTTGGGAATAAAGGCTTTCCTGATAATCTTCAAAGTATTGAGCTTTAAATGTAGACTTTAGCAACTTTTGTTTGTGGTCATGACTGATGTTGAAAAAAAATGTTATACTATGTCAGGAGTGCAACAGAAAAAAATGTAGTGTTGCCAAAAACACTGATTTTAAAAATCTGTATGACAATAAAGCAGAACTGCCAACATCATAAAATGAAAAATGGAAACAAGGAGATCCAGAGGCCTCTTAGACCCGCGGCCGCTAGATATTTGATTTTGATTACTTTGAAATGATTTAGATCTCAAGTTAGCATTATGATAGAAAGGGACAATAACAAGTCAAGGAAGCGTCGTAAGGACCATGGCTTTTGTATTGTAATGGTGAAAACTGATTGTTAGAAAGCTATGAAAATAACAGTGTTTCAAACATTTGACGGAGAGAAACAGGTATCTTAAGGATAAATAAATAAATCGTAAGGCGTATTTTAGACCCCCACACCGTAAGCCTTACGCCAAAATCGTAAGGGTTGGCAGCTCTGATAAAGTCAAAAAAGAATTTTAAAAGCGTAAAACAATAACTGATATACTATTTAAAACTTAAAAATATTACATAAATCACAAGCAACATTAACGGAATTAGAGTCAAGTATCTGTGCATGCCAAAATTATGCCAAGAGTGCAACATTTGATGTTTTGCTCCCCAACATGGAAAAAACTTTCATCGGTATATGATTCGGTGATATCTAAAGACACAAAGAACATTTTACCAAATAGATCTATCAATTATAGGGTCTGTGTGTGTTTCATATCTATATTTCTATGGTAAGGAGTGCAACACATTTTTTAAAGATCCAAGTTATATGATGAAAAGACTTCTATTCATACCGATAAATTTTCTTTAATCAAAAATGATCTGATGAATAATTTAGTACTAAATATTGAGAGTTTTGTTATTAAAATCTTTCTCTTTTTTCAGTTTTATCAATCCATATGTGTTTTATCTTTGAATTTTTTTATGAAAGTAAAGAAAAAACAATGAAAAATTGTTATAAAATTCAAGTTATTCCACCTCAAATTCAATGAAACACAGAACACGTTCTGATGTAATTTATGCCTCGCAATTCTACTTTAAAGACTTGCATTCTCTTGGTCAGGAGTGCGACAAAAATGTTAGAATTATTGCTGATGAAATATGCATAAATATAAAGAAAAAATCGATTCATGTAGTAGAATGTTTCTGGTTGTCCACAATTGCTTACAATGTTTGTCCCATGAAGGAAAATACACAATAGAATATACTTCTGAATATAATTTTAGCAGGTTTTTTTTTTAATATATAGGGAGTAACTCAAATACAATGCCAAGTTTAAACACTTTTATGTGTTTAAACCATGAAGTTATGGACAGTAAATACTGCACAATTTCGTTATCAGTTGATGTTGCCAACACTTTATGATTTTTTTTTTATTATTATTTATTTTTTTTCTATTTCATTTTTTTTTTTTTTTGTGTTCTATGGTTTAAATGTTAAATTTTACTGCAGTCAGAAGTACAACAAAACTGTTTTATAATTATCAATGAACTTCATCTATCTATACTAAAAATGAATTGCAGAAAATGTTTGAAACTATTTGTAGTTCAAATCATTATGTCTATCAATTAATTGCAGATATTGTTTGGACATTTTACAGTCAATTCACAGAATAATTTTCATCACTAAACATATATTTTTTATATATATTACACAAGCAAACATATTTTGTAGTCTAGACAATATGAAAAACTTGCTGTAAATGATAAAAAAAAATATCAAAACGATGAACTGATTTTACAAACTTTGAATGAGTTATTGTGTGTCATAATATTTAGATAATGTTTAATAAAATACATTGCATAAACATGTATCAGATGTCAGGAGTGCATCAAAATAAGGTTAAATAGGATCACTGCAAATTCTAGTATTTTTTGTAAGAAAACTTGTATATCAAAATTCTTTTTTGGCTTAGATTTAAAGAACTGACTTAAATGGACTAAACAATACTTTTGGGGAATTATTGCATCATATTTCTTTTATATTAAAACTTTTCAAACTAGAATTGAAAAAGATTAATGCTAAATATCAATTAAAAAGCCAATTTCTTTCACATACACAAGAGAAGATACTCAGTCAAGGTTAAGATCTAATCATTCTTATCCCTGACACCATTTTGAAGCATAAAAAACATTAAAAAAAAAAATCATTTTACATTTGATTTGTATTTTTGAAAGTCTTTCAGGATGTAGTAATATTTTCTTTTTTCAATTAAGCTTCACTAATAAAAATTCTGAAACTTTTTTATGCAGTTGTCTATTTTTTTTGCCATTTCAGGAATTTTGACTAGAATCCATGCTCAGTATGATGATATAAGTGAAAAATGTTATGGTTAGTTAAAATTTTTTCTCAAAAAAATTTAATTGTGGTCATTGTTTTTTAAATAACCCAGATAGGTTTTGCTTATATGAGCAATGAACAGAACATTAATTTTAAAATATGTTCAATGAATTTCAATTCTATTATAAATTTCTTTCAAGAATTCGAACGTATGTTCTTTCAAGAAAACAAAAGTTTTAACTTTAAATTCTATTTGGAATTTTTGTACTGCCAAACATGATAGATAGACTACCCATTGTGGGCCCCACCCTACCCCATGGGACTGATTTAAACAAATCTGAATCTACACTACCTAAGGATGTTTCCCTATAAATAATAACAAACCTGCTGTTTTTAAAGTTTTTTCCTGTATATTCATATGTACAAAAAAAAAAAAAATGATCGCCCATTGTGGGCCCTACCCTACATCCCATGGGATTAATTTGAACAAAGTTGAATCTACACTACCTAAGGATGTTTCCCTATAAACAATAATAAACCTGCTATTTTTAAAGTTTTTTCCTGTACATGTATATTCATATGAAAAAAATTTGATCGCCCATTGTGGGCCCCATCCTACATCCCATGGGATTAATTTGAACAAAGTTGAATCTACAATACATAAGGATGTTTCCCTATAAATGATCACAAACCTGCTGTTTTTAAAAGTTTTTTCCCGTTATCATATGTAAAAAAAAAAAATATTATCGCCCATTGTAGACCCATCACCATCCTCGCAAGCCAGGGGTCCTGAGTCAACACGTAACGGCAGCGTGTTGACTCAGGACCCCTGGCTTGCGAGGATGACCCATCACATAAATCTACACTACCTGAGGATGTTTCCATATAATTATCACAAATCAGGTTTTTGTTGTTCTTGAGAAGATTTTTAAATATTTTCGATCTACTCCTAAGTAAAACTTTGATTGCCCACTATGGCCCAACCCTTCCCCTGGGATCATAATTTGAACAAACTTGAATCTACACACCCTGAGCATGCTTCCCCATAGAATTGTCTAATCATGGCTTTTTCTGTTCTCTAGAAGAAGTATTTTATATGATTATTTTTCCCTAAATATCCCTATGCAATCATTGCATTACCCATTGTGGCCTATACCACCGGGGATCATGATTTCATAAATTCAAATCTACACTATATAATAAAACTTAAACATCTTTCATAACTTCTGGCCAATTTGTTCTTGAAAAGATTTTTGAAAGATGTCATTATATTTTTACTAATTTTTAATTATCTGCCCTTGAAAGAGGGTTTGGCCCTTCATTTCAACAAACTTGAATCCCCTTTAGCCAGTTGTCAGATGAGCCAAGTTAAAAGACAGCGATAATGATAAACGGACAAACTTCAGAAAAGATAACTTGAGTCATTAGTTCAGGTATGGGAATGAAAAAAATTGAGCCTAACTTGTAAAATATTTTTCGTGGCATTATTCTTTGCAATAATTCATACATTAACTAAACACAAACCAAAGATTTTTTAACAAAAATTTAATCAAATGTTTATTTATCTTTTGGTTCAAGTGATTTTCAAACATTTATATCATATAAACAAGTGTTTATAATCATTTATAATTAGTTCAACCATGTTTTCATTTAACCTGCTAAAACATCCAAGGCAGTCAAATAAAATATTTGGATGTAAAGATGAAACAAAATAAAGAAAATATGTAGTTTTGTAAACCTCAATTACATTAAGAATATAACCTTAATTACATTAAGGATATCACATTCTCAATTTTAAACTATATCAGATCAAAAACTGTAAATTAAAGGGTATAAAGTTTTCTTTGTTTGAACACATCTATTTTTCATTTAAAATTTACTTAAAGATATGCCTTTTTAAACAAATGAAATAATTAAAAAGAAAAAAGGAATCCGTAAAAAAAACTATGAGATACTTAATTTTTAATTTTAACAGCTGTACAACAAATAAAAAATATTATGCTTTGCATATTCATATGTAAGACAAAAACACAAAACAGGTTGAAGAAACAATCTGTTTTTTAAGCTTTGTAGTGATAAATGTAATTACTTGACAGTTAATTGCATTGATTATTTAACAAAATAAAGACAAAAACAAATGAATGAATAATAACTAGAAAACTAGAAAAAAAAAATATTCAAACATTTGAATTAAGCTTCATTGGTTTTAAAATTGTTACATCTTTTAAAGTATGTTTAAAAGCAAATGTGCTTAAATAAATGCTACATAAACATAAAACACCAGCAGTGCTACATCTATAGACAATGAAGGCACATAATTTAGGATACACTGTCCAAAAATAAGAACAAGTATCGCCTTTTATATGTCTGATTAAAAATGATTCATGGAATCCTCTAATCGTTTTATTAAACAACAAAAATCAAGAAAAATACAACAAAATTGGTGCTATATCATAGCAGAACCATACAGATTCGACTATCTTCAACCATATTTAAAAAACATGAAACAAAAAAAAAAACAACTAAATCTAAGAATACGTTATGTCTAAATCCACTTATAAATCAGAATAAGCGACAGACTAGACATTACTAAATCTACCAACACGAACCTACATTTGTAAATAGTAACTAAAGTAGACGTAAAGTCTAACACTGGGTCATTATTGACAACTTCTTTGTTTGGATTTTCTTTGCATGATTCTGATGCGTTTCAAGAAAATAATCCTTTGGAGGAATATCGCCGAAGATAAAATGTGCTTAAAATATATATTTATATATTCACATGCAACTCCAGAAAATCATGCCAGGAAAAGGACAGATTTTTGTGTTTTCTTTGAGTTTTTTCCCTTTTCTCTTCAAAATTTTTTTTTCCAAAAATAAAATTTAAAGTCAACTGGACATTTTCACTTTGTCAATGAATGGTGTTGAGGCATTTTCCTCCTCTGCTTTTTGAACGGAGTCAATTATCTCCATAAATGTACCGCTTTTTGAATGTGATAACGAGGCGTGGTATCTCTCTCTATCTTCTGGCTGACTGGGCCCCCAACTTTCTAGAGGGGTTGTCAACTTGTTCCACCTCTGCAAAAGAGAATACGGTGGTTGCTTCATTAAGTTAGGTCTCCAACACTTTAATATTTTCTGAGACACATCAACAATTACACAATTTTCGTCCCCAACATAAGCTTGTTGTACGAGAAGCATTTAATGAATTAATTAGTACATGTAGTTACTTCTTTTCAACACTTGAAATTTGCTGAAGCACATCAATAATAAAATGATTTTTTTTCAAAAGCTAAATGTAAGAGAGACCTCTGATGATTTTATTGGTAGTTACTCCCTTCCATATAAAATTTTAATGAAATATGTGAATAACCAGTGCAAAATTTCAGCATGTGCTTTTTTTTTCGATATTAACTCTATTTCATGGAATAGTAATTGAAACAACGATTTTCACCTCACAAAGTGTTCCTTCTGAACATATAAAAGACGTGATAGCAATAATTGGAATCGGAAGCATTGATGCCACACCAAGACACCATCCAAAAACTATGGCCCACTCGGGATATGCTCTCCCATCGTATGTAACAGGTCCTAGAGTGATGACGCTGAATAACCAAATGCCCTGTTCAATTATAATTTTTTTTTTAAAATAAGGGTAAGAGTCTTACGTGAATATCACAAAAAAGATCTAAAAATAGATGATATAAGAAATGTTCAATAAAAATCAATATAAACAAAATAAAATTACCAAGATTATAGTTGGTGTAATATATCGCCACATTATATGCCAAATGGCATGAGGTTTGTACCCAAGCATTAATTCAATGTCTTTGTAAAATCGCTCTGTGCCTGAAATATACCATTCATCATCAATTGAAAAGTAACGTGATAAATTGTAAACTATGAGGGTATGCATGCATTCACATGTATCTCAGTTCTGTATCAATACAACAACAGTCTAAGATTCTCAAAAATGTCAACTTTATGAGGCAATATAAATGTAAATATATTCCAACAGCTCGTACCAATATTATTAAAACTGAAGCAGAAAACATTCTCAGATCCGTCTTTATTCCATTTGGATAAGAAAAGCAATTCAGAAGACATCTAAATATTTACCATATATCCATGCAATAGCCAGACATTCTGTTAGGGAGATAAGCATTAACGAGAAGCTAGCACAGTACCAATCCATTATCTGCAGAACGTAAATTCCACCCTGAAAATAGAAATTTTGCGTAACATTTCAGAGAAATCTAGCTTCTGTCAACACACTTAAAAGGAAACGATATGAATTCGTTCGATTTCTTTTTTTATGTACATTTTTTTATCAATATTAAAGCTGAAGAAAAAAAGGTGAAAATTTAATAACTCTTAACAATCAGCTTTAAGATTATTTCATATTAACACATATATATCTCACCTGTGTAATGCAAGGAAGACCCAACAGAAATTCAAAGAGACAGGCTAAGAAACAAATCAGTGTTCTCTTCTTTCGCAATAAATGTGGGTATTCGTCCAAAAATGCTGATATGCAAGTTTCAACCATACCAAACTAAATAAAATAATTTTTGAAATACTATAACATCGGATCTTTTATAAATTAACCCTTTTTTCCTTTTAACACTATAGCATGTAAATATGAAGGCAACAAAATATATCAGATATCTATAATTGCTTCAGTCATATCTTTGGAAAACCAAATTTAAAAACACAGTGATTTCAAATTTAGATATTTACACATCATTGTATTCTATTTGCCATTTCTTTAATTTAGATAAGATAAAGCAATTACAAATACTGAAAAATATATAGTAGTTATAAAATCACCACTCATAACCTGAGTATGATACTAATAAACAAGCAGTCTGATTTGGATGCATTTCTGTTTTTATGGGGTAAAGGGAATTTAGTTTTGTGACCACATTAATTTACAAAATTTGTAAGTATTGAGAAGTTATTTGGGGTAGAAAGATGTCCATATTCTTGGGTAAATATAAAAGCATATTCATTTAATTTTACGAAGAAGTAACCTAAAAATTAAATTGTACACATTAAAAAAAAACTAAAACAAATCCATGGGGTGAAGATATGTCATTGAAATGTTAATTGATCATGCTTAGGAATATAAATTTACATTCCTCCCTAAGGATGAAATTAATTCACTTTATGCAACATCACCACATCATTATTTTAAAAAGGGGACTGTGATTAAATATTTCTCATATGAATATTTTCACCCCGTATATCGATATCCTAGTTCCTCAAATATTTCAATTTAACATCTATGTTTCGATCACAAAATGGACATATAAAAACCTATTTGACTTTCAGCCTGGCGATGCCTGTTCGAGGCCCCCTTTGCTTCTGTTGCCGACCATACCTGTCTCAATGAAGGAAATCAAAATCATGTAACACACAACACTATCTCAAACCGATTTTTCTTTGAAATTTTTGAGAAAAAAAATATCCAGTTAGTCCAAAAATCGACTAGATTTGGATCCAACTTTGAGTCCAGACAATCCAGATGAAGCAGAAATATATGCATTCGCTAAATCTGCATGATAAATATATTTTGTCTGATTTATAGAATGCATAAAGATATATCTGATTGAATTATTGAACATAAATTAGAACTTTGAAGTATGTGTGCTTTATTTTCCAATCTTTGAAACCGGAAGGTTTAAACATGTACGAATTCATGGAATTATATATTTGAAGCATCAAAATTGAACAATATCACGCTTTGTAATATATGAAGTAAAACTACATACAGTGTCCTTTTTTTTAAAAAAATCGTTTTATGTTTGGCTCACGATTAAGCAGTTTCTTCACTGCATAGATATATATTTTTTAAATTGTTCAAAGACACGTTTTTGGGAATGAAATCTATGCACTAACTATTTGATTAAGGGAGAATTTTTATTGCAAACTTCAGTATACTCACGATCAAATTCTAAGGAATTCTTTGTCAACTGTTTTGCAAATAATTAGATTTCAGTGTATATCTACTAAATGTACCTAATCTTAAAATGTTCATGACGTGTACATAACAAATTTGATATGGATCCTTTGTATTTTTAAACGGGGAAAAGAGCAGTGCTAGGTAACGACATCTACAGATTCTTAAATGGATACTACATGATTACGAAAGCTGAACAGGGGCCAGGCCCTTATTTCGGCAATTTGGTAATTGAGCAAAAAGGTTTCACAATAAAACGTTATTTTACTTTTGTTGATGTACATGACTTTAATATTATCTCGAGCTCTCTCTCTCTCTCTCTCTCTCTCTCTCTCTCTTGTACAATTACACACCTACTGGCAAAAAACTAAAGCAAAATTCATTTACAACTTTACTCAAAAGGTTCATTCATTCAATATTCAATCATTTATATACAAATACTCATGCGTTGATTGACGAGCATATAAAGAATTGGATAAAAAACACCCTGTCAAAACCAGAAAGCGTGATATAGAAAGCATTTTTAAAAGCATGAAATACTTTTCTGAAATGCTTTCAATTATCAAAGCCAGGATTTCAACAAAGTGTTTGTTACAGACATGAAAATAATTAATTTCACAATGTACCCTTGTTTTTCTCTAACACTCTGTTTCATGTATTTGCTTACCTGGATGAATTAAAAGGTCGACCTTACCCCCAAAGAAAAGCGCTTCACATTCACCTTCTAACAGAATATAGTTTGTTTCATGTATACAAAAACTGTTAATTTTGAAAATGAACTTTTCAGCATGGATAACATAGTTGCTCCTTTCAATCTTTTAAAAATTAATCTAAAATATATATATTTTCAATTCAAAATATCTTAAAATTTCCATATTTAAAAGTATGGGTTATTTTTCAATTTCAGAAATATACATTATTTTCTTATATACCCTCCCAACACAGAATATAATTTTTTTGAAGAACTGACAACACTTTAAAGCACTTTATATGAAAGATAGTTTGTGTTAGATGACCTTTTAGGCACTTTATATGAAAGATAGTTTGTGTTAGATGACCTTTTACAAAATGAAAATGCTAACATTTTCAATGTCATTTTAACTTATGAGTGAATGGAGTTTAACGTAACTGAAAACAGCATTCAATGCAACAAACCATACAAGACTGGCTAACCAATTATAAAAGCTGGTTTCATGACTATGCAACAAACAGGATTTTTTTCTGACCCTTTCCTTCACTTAAAATTCAAGTCATACAATGTACATGTACTTAAACTTATAGCACACTGTCCTTGCATCTCTGAATTCACACTATGAATACATCTATATGCCTATTGTAATTTTGAAACATAAATCTCATTATTACTATTTTGATAAGAATTTTCTGTGTTGGGATAGTAAACAATACCTTCAAACAAAATCGGAAGTCATTTTAAGATTACATTCTCTGCAACTTTGTTTTCCATATATCAGAAAGAGTAAAACGTCTTTTTAGCTTGGGTAAAACTAACTCAAACTTTATCATTTATAAAGAAAAAATTACAAATATTCCATTATATATATAGTTGATACAGTAAAACACTCTAAAATCTACACATGTTAATTCAGAATATTTTTCACCTCTGAAAAGTTTGATATTCATAATTCTCATTCTGTAATATAAAACTGCTTACATACTTGTGAATGGTGTTGCTTTCTGTCTAATGTTAATTTAAGGTAACAGGAAAATATTCAATTCAGTCTACTTGAGAGTGTCAAATCACATTTATTCCATTTTTCTTGGCTCTTTCTCGAAAAACAAGTAAAGGGATTTAGCAACAAAATTTTTACATCAAAAATAGTCTTCACCAATTTTAATTTCTTTATCTAAATCTGTGTGAAAGGTTGTACAGATATGTGCATAGAATATTTTGATTGGTGAACCACAATCAGTGATTGCTTTCAATAAATATTCAGAAACTTGTGTACATGTTCCATATGTAACCATCATATAACCATCTGTTCTACATCATTTCTTCAATATACCTGCCTTACCTATTGATTCACCTGCACATCTTCTTGGATAAATTTATAATATATACAAAACATTCAAATGTACGTGCACTTTTAAATGTTTCAACATAATATGCTTATTGCCTTGAAGTTTACAAATGGTTACATGTACTATCTGATTTAGTTATCTTATTTATCTAATAGGGTTTTTTCTTTATTTTTCTTTTGTTTTTGTTTTGAAAAAAAGAGCCTTCACCATGAAATTTGGAAAAATGAATAAGTTCATCTTTTAAATATCAATTTTTTTATCATTATAAGCATTTTCAAATGTAATAAATAACTCAGAAAAGGTTACTTGACCTCTCAAATAGACTAGGGAACAGAAAATGTAACGTAAATGATAAGGAGATGAGGTTTTAGCTACCTGGCTGTCCAAACCAATGGTGAATAACATCAGAAAAAATAGAACTGCCCACATAGGTGAAATGGGGAGGTTGGCAACAGCTTCTGGATATGCCACAAATGTTAATCCAGGTCCTATGGATAAAATATTTTACAAATTTAGTTTAACATTAATGCCTTGAACAAAAAAGTTCATTTCTGAATTTTGATATTGACTAGTATTTAGCTATTTGAAACCATTAATTTTATTTCTTTCCAGAATATTTTCAACTACCAAATATACTTTTCTCGTGAAATAAGTAAGAAAGAAAATTTTATCCTCCTTATCCCTTAATTCTCTGAAAATTTTGCAACTTCACTGGATTTAATTCAGCATTGTTTTTTTTCTATAATAATAAGTTATGTTTCTACATTCAAGCCTATCTTTTCGGTTTCTAATGACTATTAAATTACAAATTGTTTGCAAAAATAGCTTGAAAATCAAAGATTTAATATAATTCTAATTTGGAAATTTGATCATTAATTTAACAGATCTCTCATGAAATTTTCTATCAGTGTGAGTTGCTGGTGTGTTGATTAATTTAATGTTTATACCTTGACTGACAACATTTTCAACTGTTGTATTGGCGGACTCTGCCATGAATCCCAAAATGGAAAAAATCACAAAACCCGCAAAAATGCTGGTGCTGCAGTTAATTATGGGCACCAACATTGCATCCCTTAAAATAAAAATAATAACATATATGATTATAAACATGGGTGATGATATTCTAACACCAAAAATACGTCTGTTTAGCGTTGGCCATGGTCTACTGACCGACTTTACTAACCTTGATATTGAAAAAAACTAATATGAAACTTCATCCGCAGCTTTTAAATTCATACATAATTAACTGTGTTTCATGTTGAAAAATAAACCTTATATTAAGAAAACGGTAAACAAGACTACAATATTATATTTTTCTTCATATTAAGCTTACAGAAACGGGATTATTTTCATATTTTATTGATCATCATACCTGTAAATATTATTGCTGAACCTGTTATAACTGGCCATAGTAATAATTCCTCCCCATGCCATGCCCACTGAGTAGAATATCTGTAGCGCAGCATCTCCCCACACCTACCACACATCAAAATCAAACATATATTATTTTATCATTTCGAAGAATAATTCTGTATTTTGTAAAACTGGGGGTGGGTTCGGGGTGATGTCGGGGAGGGGGGGGGGGGGGGTGAAGAGTTTCATTGAAAATCTTAGGACGAAAAATGTCTACGAACTTCCTGAATCCAATATACTCCAACCCCTCCCTTTTAACTTGTGAACGTTATTTATTAATACACACGGGACCATTGAAACCTCAAAAGAAGAGCTTAAGAATTGCCTTCACAAAATTTCTCTAAAAGATAATCATTTCTGAGGAATTTCGATGATGACTTTCTGAAGTTACACATGGCTTCACATGGTGCTTAAATGTATTTTGTTTGGCAAAGATGCAGAATTCAACTTTGCCAGTAATAATTCTTTCGGTTGAAGCTGTGTTTCACTTCCAGCAAGAGTGAAAAGATAACATAAAGCCTATCTCACATCTGTAATTTGCCAACTTGAAAGTACAGAAGTAACACCAAGTTAATAATTACAAAATAGATGGTACACTTTTTTTCTTTCTCTGGATGCTAAATCACAAAAACCTTTCCCCGTTTGTGTATGAAAGTAGAGTTAGCTTACTTTAAGCGAAAGTTCTGAATGTCTGCATCTCTCAATTTTTGGTCGTTCACACTTTGTATTAGATTGAACAAGCGGAGGCTTACGGGCCTCAGTGCTCATCCGACTGCCCATTCACTATTCACTGTGACAAATTTATATGTGGATGTCGTTAACTGAACCCCTTATTATGGTCGATAAATTACAGTCTTACAGTCGTCCACAACTTCAACAATGTTAATTTACAATATAGTAAGGCCTGACTTCAACTTTACAAGTTCTAGCCTTTTTGTCTTATGAATATCTTAATATTTCTGTATAAATCTGCGCCCCAAGTCCATGTCCAAACATGAAGCTACTACATGAAAAGGAACCTGGGGTGGGGGTGCCCCCCAGTAATTTTGCCGATATATAGAATACTATAGAAAACATAACTATATGCTTGTGCCCCCTCAATGAAAACGTCTGATAACCTTTTTTTTTTTTTTTTTGGTTATAAGTGCCTCCCCAACTGAAAATGTATGTCTGTGCCCCCCAAACTAAATTGCTTCTTACGGACCTGATGCTGACTTAATTATTATGACCCTGCTGGTTTTCTCCTCCATGATTTTGGTCAACCCTTAAAAAAATGAAGGGGGTCCGAGAAAGGGGGATCCTAAAAAGCATCATGTTCAAGCTTGTCCTACTTAGCCAACTATGTTTTGGATTTAATTTTCAAAAAAGAAATATCAGTCATATAACTGCAGAAAATTACGTCGGTCTTTAGAATGTTTTAAAAGATTTCTTCTACATATTCATAATACCTAATACCATGTAAATCATAACTATATTGTGACCCTACCCTAACCGAAGGGTCCATGATGTGAACAAATCTGATTTTAACCTAAACTACTGTTCCTTTCTTTTTAAAGATTTTCCATTTATTAAAAAGATATTATCTGCTACGACCCCAGTCTTGCTTATAGCAAACTTCAATACATCTATACTACCTGATGATTCTTGTATAAAAATTTGACTGCGGTATTTGTGTTCTTCTTGAGAAGATTTTTATTTTTTTATTTATTTTTTTATTTATTGTAATTTTTGTATACATATATTTAACTTTGACCCCCTATTTCTCATACTAGTCCCACAAGCCATGATATGGAAAAAATTTTAACAATACAATACTATGTATTGAGAAGTTTCCAAAATAAGTTCTGTCTTTTCTGGCCAAGCGGTTCTTTAGAAGATTTTTAAGGGATCTCACACTAAATTCTGTATAGTTTATATTTCTTTTTTTTTATATATATCCCCTCCATATGAAAATATTTTTATCCCCTTTATGCAATGATGCTCTATGACAAGTTTGGTCGAAATTGGCCCCGGGGTACTTGAGAAAAAGATGAAAATGTGAAACTTTACACACACAAACACACACACGATGAACATAATAAATCCTCTTACTCAAGTTTGCAAATATTTACATTTGATTATCTATTTAGAGAGCAAAAAAACATTGCTATTTCGAAATATCGATCGAGAATATTCTGGGTTCGTGTTCAAATTAGGTTTTTGTCACGGGAAGTAAATACGACTCCTCTTTCGTATATTGTGTTCTATTTTCAAACTTATCTTTTAAATTCAATATCTGTGTCATGTATCTAACAAAAGAAATTTTCCGCTATTTTGAAATTATATACATACTGTTAACCGCTGCCAAAACAAACCACTTATTTTTTAAATTTATTCAAAAATTTAATATAATACAATCAAAATTTATCAGTCGATTGCCAACCATTTGCTCAGATCTTCCTCAAGACGCATGCTGTGAAAAACTCGCGAAATATCCATAACATTTGTTGACGCTCGTTTAAAGTACAATGTTATTTTATTACGAAACCTTGAACATGCTAAAAGAGCTTTTTTGTACTTGGAACTATTTTCTCCAATTAGTCTGTGTGGGTTTTTTTTATTTACCTGGTAGTCAGCCAGCCTCTCCCACTTCGGTAAAATGTAGAATTTAATGCCGTTCACTGCACCCGGCAGGGTTACTCCTCTGATCAATAATACTAGCAAGACTAGATATGGAAAAGGGGCTGCAAAATGCATCACCTGAAATAAAATAAAAATCTTTAATGCAATACATGTGTATATATCTAATTACGGGATTAGCAGTACTCTACAGAAAAGCTTAGCTTCAAACGTCCCAAATTCAAGAGTAGTATTAAGCAGAAAAAAAAATATGTTTTAACAAACGTTTATTTATGTGTTTATATGGTGCTGATGACGAGATTCCGAATTGTCTTCTCCATATAGATTTCAAAACAATAGAACAGTCAATATAAATCTATTCAAAATATTGATTAATAATACTAGGATAAGTAAGAACATTTTATTCTCTTATTTCATCATACATATACGATGTTCATATACCGTTTAACATTTGTTGCATTAAAAGTTATGGTTAATATATATAATTCTGATGATTCATATATAAGAGGAATTGTTGAAGAGTCAAATATACTTGTATATCATGTTCAACACCTGTTCAAATGAGTCACCAAAATTAATATCGTATCTGAATGAAAATTTCAATCAATTTTTGATCTTTGCTAACAAGGATATAAGGATGCGTTCTAGGTCAAATGACTGTTAAATGAAGACAAAAATAATTTGTTTTAGTTGAATGTGCTGCTAAGTTTTTATTATGTAAACCACAAAACAATTGACACTGTATGTTGCTCAATATTTTTTTTTAAGCAAATCTTCAAAATTTGAGCACTTGACATTATCTAACGAGAGGTCACTTTTATTGTTTGGGTGAAGACTTGCTTAATACTTCTAGCTATTTATGGTCGTCCTATTTATGCATGTACTTTAATCTTATTGAACGTATGTGTGATCACAACTGTGATTCTACTGAGGCCCAAGTTCAACGTACCTTTCCTAAAACTTTGACACCTTTAAATAGGCACAAAAACACGGTGACCCACGCCAGAGTCAAGCAAATCAACAGCTGCCATCGTATGGTACCCGGATTGTTTATTCCTTCAGTAATTTCTAGAACGTGCCGTCTGCAAGAAATAAAAAATAAATAATAAATTTTAAAAAATAACAGTCTTTATATCTTCTAGAAAAGCAATATTGACCATGATGTGATAAATTCATAATCAAAGTCGACATAATGAATATACAAAATACATCAATTTAATAAAAGTGAGGAGAGATTTAATAACAAGAGGCCCATGGGCCACAACGCTCACCTGAATAACTTTGGCCCTGCTGTTCTTCACCAGATGATCTTTTTGTAATACCTATTGTGGCCCCGCCCTACCCACGGGGATCATGATTTTAACAATTTAAAATCTACACTACCCTAGGATGTTTCCATATAAGTTTCAGCTTTACTGGCCAAGAGGTTCTTGAGGAGAAAATTTTTGAAGATTTTTCCTATATATTTCAAAAACTTGGATTCCCTATTGTGGCCCCGCCCTAAACCCAGGGGTCAAGATTTGAATTTCTTTAGAATTTACGCTGCCCCAGGATGCTTCTACAAAAGTCTTAGCTTTTCTGACCAAGTGGTTCTTGAGAAGAAGATTTTTTTTTCTATATATTTCAATATAAAAATTGGATTTCCTATTGTGGCCGCGCCCTGCCCCCAGGGGTCATGATTTTAACAATTTAGAATCTACACTACCCCAGGATGCTTCCACATAAGTTTCAGCTTTTCTGGCCTAATGGTTCTTGAGAAGAAGATTTTTAAAGATTTTTTCTATATATTTCAATGTAAAACTTGGATTCCCTATTGTGGCCCCGCCCTTCCCCCGGGGTCATGATTTTAACAATTTAGAATTTACACTACCCCAGCATGCTTCCACATAAGTTTCAGTTTGTCTGGCTAAGTGGTTCATGAGAAGAAGATTTTTAAAGATTTTTTCTATGTATTTCAATGTAAAACTTGGGTTCCCTATTGTGGCCCCGCCCTTTCCCCGGGGGTCATGATTTTAACAATTTAAAATCTACACTACCCCAGGATGCTTCAACATAAGTTTCAGCTTTTCTGGTCCAATGGTTCTTGAGAAGAAGATTTTTAAAGATTTTTTTTTCTATATATTTCAATGTAAAACTTGGATTCCCTATTGTGGCCCCGCCCTTCCCCCAGGGGTCATGACTTTTACAATTTAGAATCTACACTACCCCAGCATGCTTCCACATAAGTTTCAGCTTTTCTGGCCCAGTGGTTCTTGAGAAGAAGATTTTTAAAGATTTTTTCTATGTATTTCAATGTAAAACTTGGATTCCCTATTGTAGCCCCGCCCTTTCCCCGGGGGTCATGATATTAACAATTTAAAATCTACACTACCCCAGCATGCTTCCACATAAGTTTCAGCTTTTCTGGCCCAATGGTTCTTGAGAAGAAGATTTTTAAAGATTTTTTTTTCTATATATTTCAATGTAAAACTTGGATTCCCTATTGTGGCCCCGCCCTTCCCCCGGGGGTCATGATTTTTACAATTTAGAATCTACACTACCCCAGGATGCTTCCACATAAGTTTCAGCTTTTCTGGCCCAGTGGTTCTTGAGAAGAAGATTTTTAAAGATTTTTTTCTATATATTTCAATGTAAAACTTGGATTCCCTATTGTAGCCCCGCCCTTTCCCCGGGGGTCATGATTTTAACAATTTAGAATCTACACTACCCCAGAATGTTTCCACATAAGTTTCAGCTTTTCTGGCCCACTGGTTCTTGAGAAGAAGATTTTTTAATGACCCCACCCTATTTTTGTCTTTTCTTGATTATCTCCCCTTGTAAAGGGGTTTGGCCCTTTATTTTAACAATTTAAACTCCCCTTCACTCAAGGATGCTTTGTACCAAATTTGGTTAAAATTGGCCCAGTGGTTCTTGAGAAGAAGTCAAAAATGTGAAAAGTTTACAGACGGACGGACAGACAGACAGACAGACGGACGGACGGACGGACGACGGACAAAATGTGATCAGAAAAGCTCACTTGAGCCTTCGGCTCAGGTGAGCTAAAAACAGTATTCACATAATTAATTGATCAACACACAGTAGTTCCGACAAAAAAAATATTTTTGAATTTATGAATACTCACGTCCAAAACTCCTCGCTTGCTGACATCTTTTTGCCGACAAGAGCCGCTGCGTTCGCCATTGCGGCCACAGTCCCATTGAAGAAAGTACTATTTGTGTTAGATGTATCATTGTATGTAGAATTTCCCAGGGAGAAGGTTGAAACATTACCCCGAGTAGGATTGTGAATATTTCCTATTCCTACAACGCAATTTTTCGTATTCCAGTCATTATCACACGTACTCCAAGGCAGAACTGCCCGGAAAGACATGTACAGAAAATACAACGTCCAGGCTACTATCACGTTATAGTAAATACACACGATTGCAGACACCATAACCATTCCTACTCCAACACCTGAAACATAAATACTTTTCATTTTTAAGCAAGAATTTTATGTTTTTGTAGTTTTTTAAAACCTATTTAAGTGTTGTTTGATATATTTTTTTCTGATATATGTGAAAAGTAGATAAATTGAAGTTTTGAACATAAAATGTTAGAAATTCTTGCAAATTTTACAAGGTTAGCATGGTAAGATTTGCCTAACAAGGGCAATGGCGTATTTTGCTGTCTCTTTGAAAGATTTTCTTATTATCCATTAAAAAAATTCCCACAATGCATATTTCTATTGCTAGGAAATATGCCAGAAAGATCACTTACTTCATGAACTTTGTGACTTTAAGGATAAGGGTCAGTAAACTTTTCCCAGGGCCTTATCAATGGGCATTGCACCTTAAAGATTGCCCTAGGCAAGTATCAATGTACAGGTAGCCTATTGTTATAGTCCACATAACCTCACATTCACAAGGTAAATGTATTGTTTTTCAAAACATGTCAGTTGCCAGTGCTTATCAGTTTAATTTGCACCAATTGCCCTTGTCTAAAGTTCTATTGCACGCACTGCAAATGAGAGAAAAAAGTGGGAATTTTCCATGCTTATTTCGCTGACTGTTGCAAATTCTACACGTTGCATGCATGAATCGATTTTTATTTCATCACAAAATAAGGAGAAATTTCCTGCACCTTTCTTTGTTGTTATACACCGACAAGTATACGTGTAGTTTCCGGCTTATAAAATACAACGAATTATCAGTTTTCTTCCGGAAAAACGTAGAGAAGCGGAACCTTTTTAACAAATGAAAATTCAAGTATGGTAGTGCTCGAGTGTTGTAAATAATGTTATGTGTAAACGGACACGTAAATTACAACATGCAAGTATAGTGAATGAAATAGTTAAACCATGTGGCGCACAGACAAATTTCTTGCCAGTGATGGGCAAACGGGTAACCAAGCCACGGACAGGTAAACCGGCCGTTATTGCCTATAAACTCCTGCTCAACATTGATCTATCTTACCTTTGAACAGTGGGCACATTCTCCATACTGAAATTGGACTCAGACTAGAGAACTGTCCATAAGACGCCTCCAGAAAGAAAAGAGGTACCCCGCAAAGGACTAGAAACATCACATAGGGAATGAAGAAAGCACCTGAAAATCAATTACCTTTATTAATTTTAAGAAAATACAGTAAATATCATTTCTTCTAAATTTAAAGAAATCTATAAATTCCACATTTTGACCTGTCATATCTCTGTAATTCTAACGTTTTAAAAACTTGCAATTGCATAAAACGGAATCATGAATACCCTAAAAAAATGTTGCGACATTTAATAAAACCGGCGAAATATTCATTTGCCGCAATTACATTTTACACAAGTTATGTCCTCGATGGATCCATTAATGTAGTTTCGGAAAATAAAATATCGATCTGATCAATAGAGACTGATAGAATTCTTTTGTTGACTATCGCTACGTGCTCTGCAACACCATTCTCTGATATTTTAATTTTAACTTTTATGGCAAAATAACATAACATTCCAAATATTTTTTAAGTAAGGAGCTTCTTTCAAATATTAAATATCTTTAACGCTAATCTCGCGGTATCCGTTACGGAAGACTAATACAATACGGGACATTTCACCAGTCAAAAATAGGTCAAAGTTTTAAGGTTGTTCTTTCACCACTGTGATCTAGATAACCAAGTCACTGTCCGTTTTTTCCATCCTTATAATTCTTAAACATAGGCTAAGCTTGATCCTGTTTTTACTAAATCGTCAGGACATTTTCACTGTGTCATCCAATTTAAGTACATTAGTACTCCTGCATGAAGCGCTATTATAAATATTTGTTTACAAAGTCAGGAAAATATACATGTACATGTAGCTGTCGAGGCCTTTTTTTTTTTAATATTTAAATTTTTTTGGTTTTTGTTTTATGTACTCCGACCCCCATTTCTCAAGGTGGGTAGGTGGTAGGTAAGTAGTGTTTTTCTTTTCTTTAGAACGCATTGATAATCGTCATTTAAACGACTTTTAAAAATATTGATGTTTCATTATAATATATACACTAGACAGCAAGACAGATTTTAAATTATTGCTGTAAAAACATTCAATCTAAAAAAAGCGTCTTTGGGAAATGATAAACCTTAACTTTAAAAAAAAATCTGTGTTTCAGTGGAAACAAAAATAAATAAATTTAATTTAATTTAATTTAAAGTGCTGAAAAAAAAATGATCGGAGAGCTGTGATTTTGACGGGTCGCTCAGGCTCAGAGCATATCAAACAAATCATTTTATTTTTAATTTTGGACCCAACATATTAATTTGAAAAGTTATCAGTAAGGGTATTTACAACTGTTAGTGTAAATATTTTCATGTCAACATATCCTTCGCATTTTTACGGTATATAAGTGATTAAGTGGAAAAAAACTTCCTCCACTGCTTTGTTGTGTGTTTACGTAAACTACATATACTTGTTTTGTCAATTTACTGAGTATACAAGGATCACAAGAAAGTCTATATGGATAACACGGCTGTAAGCAAGACTTAGTTCTTAAATTTCATCTCGCGATTCTTTACATCTAACGGAAACCTTTCACTGTCATTAAATGACGACGTCTCAATATTCCAACACAAATTAATCACAAGTAATTTCTCTCTCTCTCTCTCTTTGGTTTTACTATATACATGTATACATTAATCCATGCGCTATTAAATAAATCTTTTACTTCTATAGCATATTTTTACTTTAACCAAACCTCAAACATTAATACTATATAAATATCAGCATAATGAATTCAGGCTTTTCAACAGGCATGTGAGGTATGATGCACATTGTAATTTAGAAATATTTCCCAAAGTCTACACAAAGAACACACATCTTGGATTCTGAAGATTACATTTACATCCATAACGGAATGTGTAATTATAGACAATGTTTATTTTCCTTGATTTTCCACACCTCGGGCACAACATTTCAGATCTATTTTTATTCTTTCATACAGCATATTTGTCGCTGATCTTTTGACTTACATCCAAATGCTTATGCAAATGAAGGCACTTTAAGCAGCTACATCCTTTTCATTTACAAAAATTATATATATTATTTTTTTAATTAACAATTTTTTTTTTCGAGACTTACCTAAAAACTTTTGCACCCCTCCCTTATTTTTTTATAAAAAGAAATTCACATTTACTTAATTTTTTTTTTTAAAGGTGCGTAAATGTGCATTCTTTGTCATCTTAAAGTAATAAAATTCATTATATGAGGTACCAATTATCAACGCAAAATCACTTACCACCACCGCTTTTGTAACAAAGGTAAGGAAATCTCCAAATATTTCCCAATCCCACGGCATACCCAATGCATGTCATAATAAAGTCCAGTCGCCCTTTCCAGCCATCCCTCTCTTGGATTTTTTTCTTCTGCTGGACAATAGAATCGTCAGAAGAGCAGCTTTTAGAAGACTCTGCATCCTCCTTCTTCATCTTTGCAATATCTAGCGTAAATTCCAAATCCTGCGTAGAATAAACAAAGATCAATAAGATAATTAGGAGTTTTCCAAGTGTCATTCTTCTTACAGATGTATACATTTGTCCAATGGCATGCCGTAGTGTGTTTTCTTCTCTTTATTTTGAATATTCATTAAAGTCAACATGTCTGCTCTATCCACCCTTTTGGTTTAATGTTTTCTCCACATATATATTATTATTGTCTTTCATGATTAAATTTGCAGAATTTGTTGACTTTTTATTTATTTATTTATTGTTATCTACATTATTATGGTGCTTACAAACTTTAAATTTAATTTACCATTACTTTGAAAAGAAATATTATAAAATATCAAAAACAGAAAATATTTCCTAAATGAGCTGGATATAGCCTAGTTGAGCATGTGTTTACATGCTGTATTCTTGACAAGCCTATTGCATTTATTTATGTAAATTCAATGAAGACCTTTTAAGGATTCGTATTAGCAAAGTTATTTTATACTTAGGGTGGGATCAAACGATCGATGTCTGATCCAAAAAAATTCAAGGGGGGGGGGGGGGAGGGGTTAAAAGCCCCAACAGTTTTCCGACATTTGATGATTACATTTTTAAAAAAGCACATTGTACACAAATATGTTAAACAGTATATATTCCATTTACAGAGCTCTAGTTCCCAAGCATTATTTTAACAAAAAATATATCTATATTTATCATTTTATTCTATAGACGTGTAGTTTTTGTTATTTTAAACGAAATGATTTCAATACACATAGTTAACTTATTTTTTTAAAATTAAACAATGGCTAAATTTCATAGTTACAGATACTTTTTAAACTTCCATAACATGACAACCTTCTGCTTTTTCAAACCTCCAAAACAGGCGAGCAGACGTTTTTAATTTCATCGTTCGAATTGACTATGAATTTAACCGGATATGATACTGCGAAACTAAGTCATGAAACCCGTACGATTACGCATCTACATTCCGTTCGTATATAGATATTTACATTACATGGGTAATTAAATAAGAGATCATATATTTAAAATTCGCGCTTCTTTAATAAAATAAAAATGATTTTATTAGTAATCGAATTTTGTCCTTTTTCCATAAATAATCTATGCGATAATGGTTCTGTATGAATATTTCCGAGAAAAAATATGAGAATTATTATTGTTCTAAGCTTTCAAATAGATTTAGATTTTTTTTCAGATTTATTGCCCCTTTCTGAGCATGCAGCATGCACGGTTATATAAAATCAAACAATTCACAATACATGTATTGTAATATTTTGCAGTATATATCATTTTATTTAAAATAATAGTATACATCTTCATCTGTTCATATAATTGAATAAAACAGTTATAAGAATATATATCTTTAAAACTATTCTTTACCCTCACACGAACATCGATCACAAACCACGCGGGTTTTTTTTATTCACAATGCAAAATCCATGATAACACATTTAGACAAAAAACATAGAATGTCCTACCTTAAAATTGGTAGTTTTTAATTTATATCCAAAACTCTTTTTTAAATAAAAATTGAAATATTTTTATTAACAAAATGGACAATAGAGCTCGGGGATCGTCTCTTGCATCTAACAAAAAAGTCGGTCACTGCTTGAATATATGTTCGAGGTTACAAGAAAATTTTCCTCTACGTCACTTCACCCTACAGGGTTGTGCTAAAATCAGAGGAGTTTGGTATATAGTAAAGTTCAAAAACATTTCCTCTTAGTCAAAGGTTTTTACTGATACATTTTCAAATTTGTTAAACCTTAAATAGAAGTAAGTTGACCACAAAAAAATGAAACAGTAATTGATGAACATGTCGTAAAATACTATGTATTTACCGGCATATACTTGATTTATTTCTATAAATTTGTTTGTTTGTTTTTATTGTAATGCATTTTTAAACTACAGAAAGCAATGGTTTATATCTGCCGTATACATATTTTTACCGCTAAATTATTCATCTAGTCTTTCTGGAAGTGGCAACATAAATTAACGAGAACTGCATTAAAAAAAATTCTGGGAATAGCCGTACAACATCATGGGGTCATTCACGTGACCTTGCAATAAACAATTAATCAACAGCGTATATTATCCGCATTAAATTCATGGTAGTTTATTCCTATTTTTAGGCCGTTTAAACACCTATTAAAATGCGTATGATACTACTCGGCGTACCCTCCATTTAAAGCGCTATAACTACAACAAATAAAAAAGCCAAACAAATTAACAAACAAACAAACAAAAAAGAACAAGAAAAAAATATGCATGGCCGTGCCGGAGAGTAAGTTGTTAAAAAATTCAATTAAGACAGGTATGGTCCGGGTTTTAAAAAATTGTCAATTTTATTTATCTATTTATTTATTTATTTATTTATCTATTTTTTATTTACTTGCAATTGCATGAATAACTACTTTATAACTAACTCGATCGTAAACTAACTAAAAAGACATGTCTTGTCATGTTTATTATTATGTATAATGATGAACTTAATAAATAGAATGCATATAACAAACACAAAAGAAAAGCATACAGCTGTGTACGTTATATATATTTTTACCCCCCCCCCCCAAAAAAAATGTATCTCCATGTAATATATTCTCTTAATTTTAATAAAAAATCTTATATGAGTAACTTCAATTTGTAATACCTTTCAAAAATTGTTTGATTCCTTTAAAAAAGTCTAACATTTCCTTTTTTTCTGAGCGGCCTGAAAAAAAAAAATCGATGTTGGACTGCAAGGCGAGATATTGGACCTGTCGATGAGATATTGGACCGCTATGACGTTATTACGTCACAATATAGACGGAATTAAGGTTAAATCTAATTAAGTAATTACAAACAAGGAAGCCATCGCAATGTCCCCGAACACAGTCAAAAAATGTATATTATTACCCACGAGATCTAGTGTACTAAACTTACAACAATTACTATAATAGTAAGTCTAGCGAAATTATGCAGTGTTAAAGAAAGCGCGTATTTGCTGGCTCTCTCGAATGCTATAGCAACTACATGTTTTAATGGAATTCTGGCGCGGATCCAGGATTTTGTTTTAAAGAGGTGCTGTTAGATTGCGAGGGATATGGACACCGCCGAGGACCCATCGGGTTTATGACAATGCCCGGAAGGGGCCTTGGGGTGACTTGGCAATTAGGTAAAGATACGTGTATTTATTTTAACACAAAAATGACTAATTCGACTTTTATTTCATCCATATATGGAAATGAAAACTACATCTGAAATTATTTGGGTTATAGAGGGGGCGTTCATCGAGAGTGCCCCTACCTAACTCCGCGCCTGGAATACGCATGCTCGAATTCACGGCAGCATTTTGAAAAATAATCGTATTACATCGATGTGTCATCTGAAAATTAACTCATATCATCTGCAGTTTCGTGTTTTGTCTGTCGTCTAACCTTTACAAAAAAGTACCAACTTATCTTAGGTCCTATTATACCAAGACAGCAGAGATCAGTTATATTTCTAAAATTGATAACACAGTCATGTGAATACCTTACTCGGGTTTTTCTTCGGGTAAGCTCGGAATTGGTACAGTGTACGCTAGCGTCCATGACAACCTTATTTTCTTAGAAACATTGAAATATATAAATGTTTTGGCGCCTCTAATCTATACAGAGGCTGGAGGTAAACTTCATTGAATGCAACGTACGATGTAACCTAAAAATATACTAAGAAGAGAAAATCAACTCTGTCTATAGCAAAATTAATACTTTAATTAATGGGAAGCGACTCCATTTTGTACAACATTTTAACCTCCGTCGGGTGATGTAAAGTTTTTCTGAGCTTTTCGAAAAGGCCCGAGAAGTTGTGATTGCTACTTTATCATTCTGAATCGAGACCCCCCCCCCCTAGCTCCCTCCCCCAGTGCAGCGCAATCTTCCTATTAATAGTTATCTGCTCAGAAAAATAATCATCTGCTTCTGTTTTCAATAATGGCTACAGCGCTAGCTTTTTTTAAAAATATAAGCTTGTTTGTATATTACATTATGAAAAAATTCAAGCTTTGGTGGCAATTTTGATTTCTTTTGGGTAATAGTTGTTTGTTTGCTTTACGTCCCTTTAAGAATACGTGTATGTTAGGACGCCACCATAAGCCGACGGAGAGATGAATTCAAATTTAAACCAGTAAACCAGTTTGACGCTATGGCCTTGAGCATGCATTGAAGAATTTTTTCGATGAAAAACATTTTGACATTTTCATACAGATGTGCAAGGAAGAAGACCAAAGAGCAGCTAGGGTCATGGAAACATGCACAGCAGTACGTGGTCATCATTAAACCGCTGTTGGCTGGGAAAATTACTGCAATAAACCCCTCTAACATTCCTAGCCCCAGGATTGTGAAACGATTTGGCCTTCAGTCGAAACATGTATAGCGTCCTGAAATGGTGGAAAGGCCAAAATAATGCATCACCAGAGTGCTTATTTTGAGTTCAAGTTCAGATTCCAGTTACTAGTATTAATGGTATTTTACAGAAGATTGGACTCTGTGTGTGTCTTTTACGATCCCGGGGCCTGGACCCTATCAGAGAAAGCATCATTCCCTCCACAACATGTTTTTTACTTCCCTATGAAATATATACGTATGTATATACATTGTATGACAATTTGATTCGAACTCTGAATGTTATGGTTTAAGACCCCCCCCCCCCCAACTTAACCATCTCTCCCACTCCCAATCTGAAAAGCTGTTAGGGACCTAGCTGCAATTAATCCATTTTTTTTCTCTTAGAGTGTTTTTCCCCTCTAAATCCATGAGTTAAGTTCAATTCACTCTTGCTTTCATGACTTATACAACATATCTGTTTTCTTAAGAAATATGATCCGCCAAGATATATTTCAAGACAAAGTTGAATGTAAATGTTGAATATAAGACAAAGTAAAGTTGAATGATCTTTGGGTTACTTGTAAAAAAAAGTAGAAATTTAAGCTAAATCAAACAAATTTTAAATTCTACAGATCAAATATAAACAATTTTTTAGTGCTTTTCAATGTCATTTATTTAGGGACATCCCTTGATTGATTGTGTAAATATTCTAAAAACAGAATTTTAATGAATTATAAGTGAACATACACTTCGGCTATCTTGTGGTTAATGAAGAACTATGTTTATTGAAAATGAACTCCACTTAATAAGGAACTGCATTTCTAGTTTCGTGTTGGGTTCTAATCTAATAACTGAAGCCGGTGACTATACTGATGAAAATTGGTTGTATTATAATTCCTTACTTTTGAGCGAAATAATTTACATTGTATATTAGAATATATAATGATCATTTCGACATGAAATACCAGGCCCCTAGAACGCGGGGTAGGGGACCCCTCCTTTTTTCTGAGCTCGAGTATAGTATTTTTGCTATAGTAAATTTTCTTTTAGATGCTGGTTGCCCCCGCCCCCCCCCCCTCCTCCTTCCACTTTTTGTTGCTGTAAAGTCGAGCACTCTCAAATTCTAGAATTTCGAAAGTTCATATTTAATTTTGGGAATACCACAGCAGTTAAAGTGCTTCAAATATCTTAATTTTTCTTTATTTTTCTACTTTTATATACATGCGTATTTTTTGTTCATGCTTATATGTTAGAAATAATCCTGGGGCCTCAGAAAATAAATTCGTCAGCAAAAAGTGCACAGTACATGTATATAAGCATTTTGTAAATTAAGTTTCATTTGACCGGCTATAAAATGGAGAATGATCTAAACTAAGTTTGATTTAAGCTTCAACCTCATGTTTTCTTCGAGGCACGATAAAAAGACAGTCAAAAAATTAGAGAATCTCCATGGACTTGAGGCCTTTCCAATCAAATTTAATCATTTTTCCATGCACATGTCTACCGTACCATTTTACAAAATTAACAAATTTAATACCCTTTCATCAGACAAATCATGTACTTTTATATATATAACTATAAAATAGGTATAATATGGAAGTACATGTACTTTATTTATATATGTTACCATAAAATAGGCATAATATGGAATAACCATCTTAATTTATGAAATGTTTCAGAAAGGAGATAAACTGATACTGAAAATAAAATTGGATTGTACGTCAGAAACATTTATGTTTTTTAAAGCCATTTTCATTGCATTTTTTTTAACCAGTTACCAGTTATACTTATTATACTACGCTTGTATGACTTTGCATAGACCTACATGCATAATTTCAAAGCGATATTTATAGTTTCAGAACTTAAAAACTTAACTTAAAGAACTTCTTTAAAAAAAAAAGGAAAAAAAAGACTTCTTTATCGACTCTCCAAAGTTCGTCAACCAAACCAGCATTATCTTCATATGGTATGCGAAATCATAAACTGTCCCTTTACCTTGATCTATCAATGCGTCTGAAAACATTGTCCCCATTTTTTTTTTCTAATATTGTCAACATTAAAAGTACAGAAAAGTGGAAAATCCTCATTGTGCACTTTACTCATACATAACAACGTTCTGGAATGGAATGTTATTTGTCCCACAATATTGTATGACGCTGAAATATATGTAAGTGTGTTAGCATAAATACTTTAATCATTTAAAAAATATATTAGTATTCTTATTACATTATATTTCCCAGTTCCTGAATTATCAGTGCGATTTAATCTCTCTCTCTCTCTCTCTCTCTCTCTCTCTCTCTCTCTCTCCATACATGTACATGTACGTGTATTATGTATAGTGTTGTTGAATATTATATCCAAGAAAGGTAACTCTAGGAACTGTAAAAAAAATAGATCTGTAAACCTGCTTAATTATCAGGTACTTGTAATTAAAGAATGAAATCTTTATCACGTTTAAAATGTCAAATCAAAGTGATTTACAGTAAATCTTGTAAACTAAATCGTGGAAAGTTACATAAATAAAATGTATTACCTCCTCTTAGTTCATCCAGTAACCAGAATCAAATGTAACCGAGTTTCATTAATGCGGACAATCTAAAAATTGTCTTGGTCTCTTTTTTATTGACTTTTAGATGTGATATAACACGTCTTGTCCCTACACTGAATTAAACCCTTCTGTTCAACAATCAAAAGGTAAATTTAATTTTTTAGCTCACCTGTGCCAAATGCAATTTCGTCTCCAGAAACACTAAGCCAATCTAATCAAAATTTCGTACAATTTTGTTTAAAAGATGGGCCTTGTGAAAATAGAATAAGGTCGTTTAAATACCCCACCCCCTCAAGAAACACAGAGTCTGTTAAAATAAGTTTTATATACATGTACGTGCCCTGATACAGCATTACCTATTCATTTAATCATTTCTTCCTTTTTTTTTTTAAATCATGACCAATGCAGGAGCTAGGATGGGGCCACATGTATAATAGGAAGTCAAAATTTATTAAAGGTATAAGTTGAAAATATCTTAAGGCATACATGCATATTCTTCTCAAGAACAGATGGACCATACTGAGTTAGTCAAATTAATACACAACCCTCCCTATGAAGCTATGTAAAGATTATCGTTTTTCCAGATTTTGACAGAGGAACGTTTTATTGGGGGGGGGGGGTTCAAATTTTACAAATATTCATAAAAACAATTATATAGGGCAAAAAATATGCACCTTAAAAACTTCCCAAGGGCAACCAGATAGCAATTACACGCCCGCCCGGTCGTATAGGGAGCAATTTCAGTTGTTGGGGGGGGGGGGCATTTTCAGTTGAAGGGAGATTGCCAAAAAATTCTTGACAAGCCAAAAAGGGATCATCAGACGTAAATATAGAGGGGTAAATCCTGAAAGTAGCTTTGTTTCTATAGTAAATATACCAGATATTGTTAAATTGACATATAACATATCTGCATATAACAGATTTCCTGCAAAGGAAGTCCAAACATCGCCCTAAGGGTAATTTTCTTGCACTTGGCAATGCTGCTGCAAATAAGCACAGAAATATACATGAAAAAATGAAATTCTGAAGAAAAGAAAGTTAACAGATTTTTGCCATTCCCCATATTCGCTAGATCTCAGCCATTGTGAGATCTTTTTATTCCAAAAAATGCATGAAAACAATCAAAGGAAGATTGTACAATATTAGATATGTCATGGGAAGTGATATTCATCAGTGTCTTTGGGGCATCCCTAAAGATGGGTATGCTGAGGTTTTCTGGCCATGGGTACAAAGACTTAAGACATATGTAAAGGACAACAGGGAATGCTTTGAGGGATTGAAAATGTTTAGCATATATATTACGTACTTTTCTTACTTTTAGATGACCTGTTGCATTATTTATTGAACGACCCTCGTATCTACATTCAAACCTCAGGAGGTAAAATGTGACTCAGGTGAGCGTTGTGGTTCAACGACCTTTTTTTTTTAATTTTGTAAGTTTCTATTTTATAGATTAATTTTACTAAAACTCTTCTTCTTGTATACATGTACTATTTATTTATGTTTTTGTCCTTTGTAAATGAGGTGTATGGTAATAATTTCTTCATTGAAATATCCACGCCATTTGAGAAGAACGGACTTCCACTGGTGATTGTGACTTTTCCTTAAGGTAACAGCAATATATTGTGATACAGGTTTCAACTAAATAAATACAATTTATTGCAAAAAGGGGCCCACTGCTAGACTGATTGTAACTCTATGCACCGACGTCTCAGTTTGACTGCTTATATACTTCATTCCTGGGGAAAAATACAATATTAAGTACGTAATTCATCTAATTTTGAATAAAATCTTACAAATATACAGAAATAATGAACACTTTTAGGAGAGGAAATAAATCAAGCAATTATGATTACCTGAAAGGTGGACGGAGGACATATCAACATATAATTTTTCTTCTGTTTCGTCTGCATGTTTGTTCGTTCACAAGACTTCTCAGTTAAAAAATTGGCAAAGGTTTATAATGGACGATCGGTCAAACTTTTAAGCGGTTACTTTTAAGGTTACAGGTGTGAATATTGGGATTATTTCATACATGCAAAAAGCCTAAATTATGAACTTTAATCTAACATGAATGATTATATACTATTCCAAGAGAGGGGGAGAGAGAGATACGATGCATTCTAGAAATGCTCTTTACACAAGAAGAAAGTAACACGACGTGATAAATTCTCTTTAATTTCCATTATGATATATCGGCTTCCTTCGCAACTTCGACCGAAAACACATTAAAAATACAGGAAGATCTCGCTCAAGTCTCGAAGATTTTCATCCGAACTCCCTTTACATTCAGCTATATTTATCACTGATAAAGAATACAATTATATGTACAGAAGTACATCATAATTATATACGAACCCGACATCGTTTCTACTTTTTTATACAGCACTACATATAAGTTGAGTGCTGTGCAGCCACTTTAATAGAAAGCTCGTCCAGCTTTAATAGAAAGCTGAATTTAAAGGCATCTTTTTGGGAAAAAAAACGTTAAATAATGTAATGAACGTTTCGAGGAAATTCAATGACTGATATTATTAGTACAGAGGGCATTCCGCCATGTATGTTTACCAACAATTCAGATGCTGGAACATTGTCAAGGTTGCGATTTCTTTACAACATAAACAATAATCTGCGATTTGGAGCAACATCCTTTGGAATTTTAAGAATTTTTTGCATAAAGCAAAAACTAAAGCGCATTTGCTTAAATTCTGATAATGTTCTTTTTTACGCTATCTGATCAGATCTAGAATGATGCGCGTGCTCAAGTATTTTTGGAATCTGTAACAAACGACGCACGTGCTATTGTTTTGACCCACTTTCTTCCTACACAGTGCCTTATTAAGAGAATTGTTAAGAATCATGAGACGATTTTTTTTTATTTTGAAAAAGAAATTAAGCATGCAGTTTAATGCCAAGTATATGAAGCGGTATATTAATTTAGAATTCTCTCTTCAAAAAAAAAAAAAGGCATCGAATTTTGAGGCAAAGTCACAATGTATTCAAACCAAGTTGCAATTAAAAACATTTTATGAATATGTTCTTTGATATTTTTGAAGGAACAATACAAATTATCTTTAAAGTTCGACTTCATAGTTAATTAACAATCCAATAATTTAATGCATTCGTCATTGTAAGTAAATTAAGTTAAAATGGACTGAAAAATCGACGGAAAGCGCGTGTATAAACCTAAAGCAAGAATGGTCTACTTTATTCACATTTGTTTTTTATTAAATCTTTAATAAATTAATCTTTATTTATATATATATATTTCCTTCAGTTAATTTTGCTACACGCTACACAAAAGAACATTGTATGGTACATAAAATGTTCTTGTGTATATAATGTTCTTACCTCCATAGTACAATAGTACTTGCAGCAACAACGTAGATAGGTCAAATGATTCGAAATAATCCTGGGATATGTTATATAGAGGTAGCATATAATTCCTTGAAACCACTTTCAACCGGTTTGCTCGGGAGCAAGTATAGTTAGTAGACTTGTCTAGTGCTCTTTTACACGGTTTTTACATGTACTCTTAAGTAATGGTTGATCTGAGCCTAGTTCAAGTATATAGAGCACAATTGGTAACATAATTACGCACTTATTACAACAAAACATGTAGAGAAGAGAAAAAATAATATTCATATGTTGTAGATGGGCATCTAATTGTATTAAATGTCATTTTGGACATGGAATTGCGTCGTATGCTTACTTCATATCTTTATTTCATCAGAACACCTTTATATGGTTATCCAGGGGAGATCATTCCGATAAAATAAGCAGGGGTATTGCGCTTGTAAACAGAAACTTTATTCAAAAGTAAGAAGAATTAACAAGAGGCCCATGGGCCTCCATCATCAACTTGGATATGCTGTTTTTCATCAGTTTTTTTTTTTTTTTTTTTTTTTTTAAAGAATCCTTTCTTTTGTCCTTTGAAAGATTTTGACCGAATACTGTACATTCATGTACATTATCTTCATGGGATTATGACTTAACCGAAATTGAAACCACACAACATAGGATGCATCGGGATAATGCTTCTATATCGACATAACTAAAATGGCCTTACTGCTTTGGAAAAGAATATTTCTTTTATTTTTTTCTGTAAACATGCATAATGGAAAATTTGACACCCCCCCCCCCCAATTTTAGCCCCATACTAAGCCAAGGTACTTTAATTTGATTTGAAAAAGTTTAGTATGTACATACAATTTGCAAATAATATTTTTTGCCCCACAAAACCCCCAGAGGCCAAGAAACTTGTTTTATACTCCCTGAGGCTGTTTGTACATCAATATAAATACATTTAAATTCCAATGTAAAATGACTAATCGTGTCTTGCTGTTCTTGAAAAGAAAATTTTAATGATTTTTCTTATATATTTCCATGTCTCCTATTATGGACTCACCCTATCCTCGAGGGCCATGATTAGGGGTGTAACAATACATTGATACATCAATGTACATGTATAGGGTATCGATTTGATACATCGAAACACAAGAATCGATTTGGAGAGTTCTGGAGAAGATTCAAGAAGTCAAAATTGTCAAAAGTTAGACATACAGACGACAGTCAACAGTTGTCACTGGAACTTTTGGTTCAAGTGAGCTAAAATTGCTAACGACTTAAATCGCTGGAGCTTTTAGTTCAGGTGAGCTAAAATTGCTGACGACTTAAATCGCTGGAACTTTTAGTTCAGATGAGCTGAAATTGCTGACGACCGACTTAAGTCGCTGGAACTTTTAGTTCAGATGAGCTAAAATTGCTGACGATCGACTTAAATCGCTGGAACTTTTAGTTCAGATGAACTAAAGACTAAAATCGCTGGATTTTTTAGTTCAGGTGAGCTAAAATTGCTGACGATCGACTTAAATCGCTTGAACTTATAGTTCCGGTGAGATAAAATTGCTGACACAGGTAGAACACAGGTACTTGTGAACAGGATCCTGTGCTCAAGACCCCCTCCCCCCTTACATTTTTTAATCTTTAACTTCGTTTCTGTTTAAAACTTATATATATTAGGGGGTATAACAAGTATTAATACGTCTAGATACTACTGATGAGTCATTTTTAAATAGAAGCACGTAGACGAAGAAGTTTCATATTTAATTTTTATGCCCCCGTAATGGAAGATTCGGGGGCATGTAGTTTTTGCCCTGTCCGTCTGTCTGTATGTTTGTCTGCAAAACTTTAACCTTACCGATAATTTTTGATTGGTTGGAGCTATGGCTTTCATATTTCACATGTGTACTCCTTGTGACAAGACCTTTCTTTGGGTACCATTATATTTGACCTTTTGACCTTGGAGTTTGACCCACTTTTGCAAAATTTTATGAGACTTTAACATTGGCCATAACTTTTGAACACGTGGAGCATGGGCTTTCAATTTTCACAAGTGTATTTCTTGTATAAAGGCCTTCCTTTGGATACCAACGTCTTTGACCCTTTGACCTTGACTTTGGAGTTTAACCTACAGTTGAAAAAACTTTAACATTGGCTTTAACTTTTGAACAGTTTGAGCTAGGTCTTTAATACTTCGCATTTGTACTTCTTGTGACATGACCTTTCTTTGCATACCAACAGCTTTGACCTTTTGACCTTGACCTTGGAGTTTGACCTACTTCAATTTTAAAAAATTGACCTTGGCAATAACTTTTGAATAGTTAGTGCTAGGGTTTTCATTCTTCACATATGCTTTCCTTGTGAGAAGACCTTCCTTTAAATACCAACAGCTTTGACCTTTTGACCTTGACCTTGGAGTTTGACCTACTTCAATTTTGAAAAAAATTGACCTTGGCAATAACTTTTGAATAGTTAGTGCTAGGGTTTTCATTCTTCACATATGCTTTCCTTGTGAGAAGACCTTCCTTTAAATACCAACAGCTTTGACCTTTTGACCTTGACCTTGGAGTTTAATCCACTTTTGCAAAATTTTAACCTTGGCCATAACTTTTGAACAGTTGGTGTTAGGGTTTTAATACTTCACATATGCATTCCTTGTGACAAGACCTTCCTTTAAATACCAACATCTCTGACCCTTTGACCTTGACCTTGAAGTTTGACCTGCTTTTTAAAAACTATAACCTTGGCCATAACTTTTGAACAGTTGGTTTAGGGCTTTCATACTCCACAAGTATATTCCTTGTGACAAGACCTTCCTTTGGATACCAACAATTTTGGCATTGACCTTGACCTTGGAGTTTGACCTACTTTTAAAAATTTTTAACATTAGCCATAATATTTGAACGTATGGTCCTAGGGCTTTCATATTTCACGATCATGTGTATCACTTGTGACAAGAACTTCCCTTGGGCACCATTTGATCTTGACCTTGCCATTTTACTTACTTAAAAAAACTTTAACCTTCGCCATAACTTTTCAATGGTTTATACAAGGGCTTTCATATTTCACAGGTATATTCCTAGAGACAAGACCTTTCTTTGGGTATCAACATTTTTGATTTTTTGACCTGGAGTTTGACTTGCATTTAAGAAACATTAACCTTCGCCATAAGCTGCCATACGGGGGCATCAGTGTTTCACAAACACATCTTGTTTAATTAAATAATTAAATGCTAAAGAAGTCATGAAATGGGGGGGGGGGGTCGTA